GATGGGTAGCCTTTCATAGAAATCTGAGCAGAAGGGGAACTATATAAAATCTGTAATAAGGAGAGAAACATGGGACCAAATCCCAAAGTTTCTAGGGTAGTGAACAAATAATCCCAATTCACAAAGGCCTTATGTAGATCAAAGGAAAGGAGCATAAGATCTCAAGAGGGGCATCCCAATTAGATGTGACTGCTAAAATCAGAGCAATAGAGCGGCGTATCTGATTGATGGTTTGGCGACCGGTGATGAAACCCAACTGATCTTTATGAATATAGTGTCCCAAAAAACTATTAAGATATAAAGCTAAAAGTTTAGTAAGAATTTTGAGATCACAATTAATCAGCGATATACTGTAGGACGATAATTCAGGACATCAGTCATATCCTTGTTTGGTTTTAGAATAACACTAATGTATGCCCTATTTTTATCTAATTGGATTACACCACTGTCCCTTAGTGGATTAAAATAAAGGGTCATATTTGGAACCAGAAGATCAGAAAATTTTTTATAATATTGATTGGGAGAAGACCATCAGGGCCCCGCATTTTGTGGAAAGATAACATCTGTATGATCTTCTGGACTTCCAAACAAGAAAAGGGCTGTTCCATAAACTTCTTATGGGCTCTTTCAAGTAACAGTAGGGACACAGTTTCTAAAAAGGCTCAAATGGGGAGAGGAGCAGTATCTGGCGGTGCGCTATATGGAGTTAGTAAATGACTGTTATACATGTTCATTTTCTTTTCTTTTTCTTTATTTTTGTCTTCCTGAGTAAACTAATCTATAGAAGCACTGAAATCCATGCTTGTCCTCACCCTACATTAAATTGATCAACCGCATCCTGAATATGGGCCTTTTGGAAATGTTTTCTCAACTGACCTTCAACCTGCAAGTGAGTATCTCCTTCAACAAGATGAACATCCAATTACTCTCTCATAATGTCTATTAAAAATACTCTCCATAAACACTAGAGGACTCAACCACCCAGAACAAAGGGCACCCCTATGGAAAGAAGCTTTAAAATACCACTTGGATATACTGTGTCCAAGAGACATATTTTCAAAGTGTATCATCTCCTAAATACTCACATGCCAGCTATCCTCACATAATCTCAGCTTCCATGGCAGCAAAAAAAGGAGGAGTACTCATAGCAATCAGAGACTCTGTAGCCTTCAAATGCATAGAAGAAATCACAGACCCGGGAGGCAGATACATTATTTTAATTCCTTGGCCCCGCAAATAAAGTGGTAACCTATAAAAGGATTTAAAGTGTCACCTATGGATAGTAACATTTTTATATTGTTTGTCACCATTGCATGGTTGTGTGCATTTTTAAAACATGACATGTTTGAAACCTATTTACTTGGCATAACAGCATCTTTTATATTTTACAAAAAAATGGGTTATGTATTGTGTTTTTTCCCCAAAAGAGCTGCGCAAATACCATGTGATAAAAAAATTGCAAAACCCACCCAGGGCCTCTGCATTAACTATTTTTCTACCAAAAAATAGTGATTGTTACATGGAAACAAAAAGTGCCAGAAATGGAAATGGATATACAAAGCCATCCACAAATCTTCCCCCCAGCTACATCACAAATCACTTAACAAATATTGCCCAAATCCTCCACTCCTCCCAAGATCTTATGCTCTCTACCTCCTCCACAACTCCATGCCATGCTTGCCTCAAGGACTTCTGCAGAACCTCTCCCATCCTCTGGAACTCACTACGTATCTGCCTTTAATCCCTGAAAATCTCTGCCGACACCTAAAAACTGTATTTTGAACTTCTTTATCAGATTATCTTTCACAGTTATTATCTTTTGTACCACTTGATCTTCTTAGATAGTAAGCTCCATGAACAGAGCCCTCCTAATCCTCTTGTACTGAATTGTATTCCAACTGTTCTGTCTCCTTTTAATAATAATAATAATAATAATAATAATAATATATACAGTGCTCAGCATAAATTAGTACACCCTTTTTGAAAAGTAAGATTTTAATCAATATCTCAATGAACGCAAGAACAGTTTCCAAAATTTTGATAAAATGACAAAACTGAGTTTTATAGAACATTTGTTTAGCTCATTGCATGAAAGTAAGGTTAATAATATAGTGAAAATAAAGGTGTTGTGCTGCTCCTTTCAATTAAATATGTGCAAACACAACTCCCACACTTATAAATGATGGTGGTGCTCTATGTAAATAGTATGAATCCTTTCTAACACAGAACCACCACTCCATGTTGCAAAACACCTTCCCCCTTCCTGCTACAATATATGACAAATGTGAACATACTAGACCAATGACTGATTGGTGCTCAAATGTGTTGAAAAATCATTCCTTCCTACAAAACACCTTTCTCCTTTTTGTGGAAATAATAAGTATGACAAATGGGAATGTGCTAGACAGGTGCTACAAAACACTTACCCCTTCTAAGTGAACATTAACTACCGTATTTTCCGGCATATAAGACGACTTTTTACCCCTTGAAAATCTTCTCAAAAGTCGGGGGTCGTCTTATACGCCGGTATACGGCATACTGACACTTTTTAGGGGGGCAGCGCGGTGCCGCCGCCGCCCCCCTTCCAACGGAAGGGACACTAAGTACAGGGGTGGGCAGAGGCTGTTTCTTACCTGGCTCCGGTCCCACGACGATCCGGTCCAGGAAGCGCGGCTGCTTCAGTTCGGCCACTGGATGTTCGCACCCTCCTCACCGGTGATTGGCCGCCAGAACTGTAGCTCAGGAAAGGCACACAGGCGGCCAATCACCGGCGAGGGAGCGGAGCCGAGCGGGCCCCACGAAAATCGAGTGCAGGAGCAGCAGGTAAGTGTTCAGTGTAGAGGTGCTGCTGCAACCACATATGCTGGCTGCAGCAGCACCATAGTAGAACAGGGTCAGCAAGTGTAATTGGTGTCAGTGGGAGGAATAGTGCCCCATCATTGGTGTCACTGATACCAATGATGGAGCACTATTCCTCCCACTGACACCAATGATGGGGCACTATGCCTCCCACTGACACCAACGATGGGGGCACTATTCCTCCCCCCCACTGACACCAACGATGGGGCACTATTCCCCCCCCACTGACACCAATGATGGGGCACTACCCCCCCCACTGATACCAATGATGGGGCACTATTCCACCCCCCACTGACACAAATGATGGGGCACTATTCCACCCCCCACTGACACCAATGATGGGGACACCATTCCTCCCACTGACACCAATGTTGGGACACTATTCCTCCCACTGACACCAATGATGGGGCACTATTCCCCCCACTGATACTAATGATGGGGCACTATTCCTGCCACTGATACCAATGATGGGGCACCTATTCCCCCCACTGATACTAATGATGGGGCACTATTCCTGCCACTGATACCAATGATGGGGCACCTATTCCCCCCACTGATACTAATGATGGGGCACTATTCCTGCCACTAATGCCAATGATGGGGCACTATTCCTGCCACTAATACCAATGATGGGGCACTATTCCTCCCACTGACACCGATGATGGGGCACTATTCCTCCCACTGGTGTGCATTGGTGTGCATCTTATACGGCGAGTATAGCCCAAACATTACATTTTAGCAGGAAAAGTAGGGGGTCGTCTTATACGCCCAGTCGTCTTATACGCCTGCAAATACGGTAAATAATTAACTGGTACTACAATACACCGCCCCCATAAATTATAGACCATACATATACTGTAGTGATACAGCTGGAAAATACAAATATGCAAATAAACAATATGAATAAAATACTCCAGTGAACAGTAATCAATGGACATAACATAAAGTGTTGTGTAGCTCTCCACTCCAGTGCACGAGGACTATGCGTATACGTATCCCTATAATCTCAGAGGCAATTGTCTTCCATTTAACGGGCCATTAATGGATATGCCAAAGAAAAAGGGAAGTTTACACAGTATAAAAACCTTTATATTAAAATTAAAAGTGTCGAAAACGTACTTACAATAATAAGATGTATCAGCGTTTTAAAACCTGAACACCGATGCATTCCACAGCTGAAAAATGGAAACTGGAAGTGTCATAATTAGCTCTGCCCAACGCATTTCATCATCATGACATCATCAGGAGAGTGAAATCTTACTTCACCTCCTTCCTTATATACAGTACACAACAGTAGCCTAGCTACCTACTAACAGCCAACCCGGCCGCCATATGATTAAATTCCTGCTTTTCATTCAGCACATATATTCTATGCTAATGCAGTTGGAATCCTGCATACCAATGAGCGGTCATTATCTGAAGATACATATAATACACTGGATGTCGGCCATTTTTTTGGTGTCCACACAGACTTATCCATGCATGATTGCAATATAATCTAATAGTACACAATAACTTCCCATAGGTAAGATACATATAATAAACCAGTAAAGAATTGTTATTCATAAATTTAGGCCAAAATGTATATTGCTACATTTCTTTGGTGAACATAGCCCAAATCAGTGTATCTTTTTTAGTCTGTAGGAAAGTTATAGAGTCCAAAAAACTATTGTATACACAGTGCTCAGCATAAATGAGTACACCCCTTTTGAAAAGTAAGATTTTAATTAATATCTTAACACAAGAACAATTTACAATTGACAAAACTGAGTTTTATAGAACATTTGTTTAGCTCATTACATGAAAGTGAGGTTAAAAATATAACTTAGATTACAAAATCTTCAGTTTTACTCAAATTAATTGATGCAAAAATGAATTTATCCCACAACAAAAACTTCTCCATCTAGTATTTAGCATGACCTTCATGATTTGTAAGGACAGCACCAAGTCTTCTAGGCATGGAATGAAGAAGTTGGCGCCATATTGCCACATCTGTCTTTTTCCATTCTTTAAGAACAACCTCTTTTTGAGCCTAGATGCTGGATGGAGAGTGGTGCTCAATTTGTCTCTTCAGAATTCCCCATAGACGTTCAGATCAGGAGAAATACTTGGCCACTGAATGACTTTCATCTTGTTCTTCTTCAGAAATGCAACAGATGTGTGTTTTGAATCATTGTCATGTTGGAAAAGTGCACAATGACGAACGGCACGGAGTGATGGTAGCATCTTCTCTCTCAATATACAGCAGGACATTTGTGAATTCATGATACCCTCAATGAATTGACAACAGCAGCAGTCATGCAGCCCCACAGAAGGACATTGCCACCATCAGGTTTCACTGTAGGCACCATGCATTTTGCTTTGTACTCCTTTCCTTTGCAACACCATACAGTTTTGAAGCCGTTAGTTCCAAAAACATTTATCTTGGTCTCATCACTCCCCAATACAGAATCCCAGTAGTCTTCTTTTTCAGCACCGGCCCTGGCAAATTCTAGTTTTTTTGTATATGGGCTTTAGGAGAAGCTTCCTTTGTGGACGACACCCATGCATGACATTCCTCTGCAGTCTATTGTGTCACAGGAAACAATCATCCCAGTTTGGCTTTCTACTTCTTTAGGTAACTGTAGTGAACTTGCATGGGGATTTTCTTCAACCCTTCTCATCAGAAGAAGCTCCTGTTGAGGTGTTAACTTCCGTGGACAGCCTGGATATCTCTCTGAGATGGTTGCAGTTCCATCTTTCTTAAGTTTTTGTATCACTTTTGCTACAGTATTCAGACTGACAAGTAAAGCTTTGCTGATCTTCTTGTAACCTTCACCTTTTTTGTGTAAAGAAATTATTTTCTTTCTCAGGCCTTGTGACATTTCTCTTCCATGTGGTGCCATTGATGACAGCATGAAATTGGAAGGGGTTTTCTTTGTATAGTAATGCTCTTTTATAATCAACTGTCTGCTAGACGCCTGTTTAATGAATAATTAGACTCACCTGTAGTTGATTTATTGCTAATTAGGATTTTGTTGTCTAAAATTTAGCTTTGCTCCTAAGACTTTCATTGGGGTGTATTCATTTTTGCAACATGTTCTTGTAGGAATTTGTTAGGAAAAATACTTTTTTGTGTGTGCAGATTAACAAATCTTGTTTGCAATCAATGGCCCACATTGGTGGGAGTATTTTGTAGAATAGTGTTCCATAAAAATGTTGATTCTGAAAGGAAAGTAAAAGTTTTCTGACAAATCTGTTGGGGTGTACTCATTTATGCTGAGGACTGTATGTATAAAAAAACTACAATATAATATTTGCTTTGTTTATGAAAACAGCCATGTGTACAATACAACTGATGTTAATCAAAACATCTAAGCCTTTAATTCAATGCAATTTGCTGTTCAAAAGATACACGAATGCTTAAATATGCCCTCATGGGGTATATGATCCTGCATCGGGGTGTACAGTATATCTGTGAAATAACTGAGTATATGACTGTGACCAATTAATATATCGAATCACAGCTTTTGCTCTAAATGTGGAACTCAAGACAAACAGTAAGTGCTTGGTTGAAATACATATATTTGTGCTGTCTTTTCTACCAAAGGATTTGCATTTCTGTCCATCTAATACCTTCATCACTTAATTTTTACAGTACTAGGTAGGAATCACATATGTGAGCACCATTCGGGCTCAACAGATAACCTAATCATTTGGTCAGCAGTCAATTTGAATTTTTCTATGTGAATGATGTTTGCCACTCAAGATAGAAATAGTATCATGGTGTTTGCTGATCATGAATACATGCATTTGCGAAGCATGCATGTATGAGTACATACCTATGCCATTATTGCTTAAAAAATATTCAGCAGTGGCATTGTAGATAGATAGTCGTATGGCATATATTTTGGTACAAATAAATGCTTTAAGGGAAAATACACATTCTAAAATTTTTTTTCTTTTCCCGAGGCTTGATAACTGTGTTATACTTTGCATAACATACATGTATTTTCAATTCCTATACTCAGGAGAACTAATTTGTGAAGTAACCAGCTTGAATGATAGTAACTGGGTCAATGTTTCTGTGGAAAGAAACACTGAAAATGTTTTTATAGTTTTCTGTTTTCATCTGTAGGCTGAATACAAAATAACAAAGCTTGTCTTTTTGATTCCTAATATCCTACCTTAAACAAAATGAAAAACTGTACAAACTGTGTTTTATCATATGTAACACTATGCCTTCCACAAACTTTTCTTATATTCTGTAGATTTTTTTTGAACTACCGAATATTGGAGTAAATTACTGGAGCTTTTTTATTACCTTCTTTATTTGCAAGAACTAACAAGCATTGACATACATAGCAGTAATGTAAGTAATACCTCAACACAATGGGGGAGATGTACTAAAACTAGTGCATACAGAATCTGGTGCAGCTGTGTATGGTAGCCAATCAGCTTCTAACTGCAGCTTGTTTAATTAAACTTTGACAATAAAACCTGGAATCTGATTGATTGCTTTGTAAATCTGTACTAGTTTTTCACATTCCAGTCTTACTAAATCTCTCGCATTAATGGGCCCTTGGGCTTATTTAATAGGGGAAATAGCAACAATATTCAGTTATATACTAAAGTCAGCACTTCTGCCTAGCAGCACTAGGGTTGTTGGTTTGAATCCCAACCATGGCATAACTTGCTTGGAGTTTGCATGTTCTCACTGTGGCTGAGCAGGTTTCCTCCCACACTCCAAAGACATGCTGGTAGGTTAATTGACTCCTTTCTAAATTGGCCCCAGTATGTGTATGTATGAATGTGGGTTAGGGACCTTAGATTGAAAGCTCCTTGAGGACAGGGACTGATGTGAATGTACAATATATATTTAAAGTGCTGCATAAATTGATGGCACTACATAAGTGCCTACAATAAATAAAAAATCTACCTAAAACAACTTCCACGTTACAAATTTGTCAGGTATAGTTGACAGTCATGTCAACAAGATAAAAAAATAGCGGCCTAGAACATTTATATTACCAACTAAACACAGACTCACCAATGTCTGTGGACAATCAGGTGGTGTTCAATGAACCATGTTAATCTAATCACTGTGGTGGTTTATGTAAGGATATATTTTACTTATAAAGGGCGTGTCCCTTTCCCTTAGATGAAATCTCAGCAGTGCCTCCAAATTTATCCTGTGGTGGTTTATGTAAGGATATATTTTACTTATAAAGGGCGTGTCCCTTTCCCTTAGATGAAAATATACAGTGCCTCCAGCCGTTAAAATACGGCAAATATTTAGTAAACCAATAATTTGGACACCTTGATAATTTGATCACCACTTATTATTATACCTTGAATTCTTTTAACCAATATGATTTCGTACCATACACACAAAATTTGCCTTATAATAGATAAATATAAAAATTTATTTATGTACAAAAATTATATATATATTAACACAAAACGCAAAAGACTGGTGATAAATGAATATTGATACACACACAATCAAAGACATACCCTACCAATGTAATACACAATAATAATGTTTCCAACTAATTAAATCAATATCACAATTTCTAAATGATCTGATTAAAATTAAATTGATTAATAACTAATAATTTTCGAGTATCTCAAAGGCTATATTCTCACAAGCCGTGGCCATAGGATTGCAAGAAGATATTCCTTGATAAATTATACTCTGATTATTAATATTTAATAAATTATGAAATATGAAAAAAAAATTATAATATGACACCAAACAATTTTTTAACAGTAAAACAGGATCTCTCTACATATATATAACTACCCAATATTGTTTGTGATACACTAAGGTAATTCTATGATTCCACACAACAGAGAAAATAGGTAATGCAAAATTAAATAAACAGTCTCACCACACCCGGAATTCAGACTAGGAAACTCTCCCGTGGATTTAGCTGGCAATGGAACGCCTTCAGAATGATGACCACAGGGGAAAGTGAGATAGAGTTCAATAGTGTGGGAGAATGTAGGAAGTTAGAAGGACAGAGGTTTAGCAATTTAGTAAAGTTTGGAAATTTGAAAGGATGGAAGAGGGGTTATAGAGAGGTCTCTTCAGATGTCTTCAGATTCTTCTAATCAGGTCTTTCTTCAGTCAGGTTTTCTTTCTTTTGATCAGTTTTTCTTTTGATGAGTTTTTTTTTCTTAAAGGTGCATGGGCTTTTATATCCACTAATCCATTGTTCTAAGATACCTTCCCACCAGGCTTCTTGATTGGCTAGTTGAGAAATGTGTGTACATAAGCTATTTCTCACCTGCCCGCCAGATGGCAGTCATGTATCATAGAACAATTTGAGTATTTGAGATGACTCATACCTCGGGTGGAATTTTAAGGTAATTTCAGGGATTAAATATACGTCTTTTTCCAGATATATAAGTGATCATACCTATAATATTCTAAATAGGGACCATGGAATATAGGTGTATATTCAGTTATTCCTTCTTGAAATACCATCCTGTCTGTTTCCTGATAAGACATATAACTAATGCTAGTTTATAATACATCTTACTTTCCATCATCTCAATACTCAAGTTAGTGATATATAATTCCCATTGCTGAATATTTGGTGGTGTGTGAAACCTATTCTTTATAACATCTCTAGATACTATGCTTTTGTAGTAATATCTTTGTAGTTAGAGTTTCAGAACCACATTTTCTATGGGTAGGGAAAAACTCTCTGTTTGCCTGGCTCTTGTATTGGAGTCACAGTAAACAACTATTAATACTTTCACCCTTGGTGGACAATAGTATATTGCGATAGTTTCAGAGGTCTGTTGGTTTATCACACTCTGCAAGGTTTGGGTAAACTTTCAACCAGTTGAGTTCCCGTCTCATTATTGTTAAAATGTTTGAAAGTCGAAGTCCTATCTGGCTATCTGTTTGACTTTTTGTGTATGCATTCTTCTCAACCTCAATATACAAATAGTACTTGTTGACAGTCCAAACAGTCTTATTGTCTTGGAAAAGTCTCACTTCCCCCATTCTATCCATTTCTTAACTAGAATCCTTCGAGGGTTCAACCAAGACAAAATTAACTCTTAGCATCCGGCTATACTGAGCTGCTTGTCATATAATGTTATGTCTTGATAAAGTCATGTTTTTGAGACATAATTCAAAAGGTCCACAACATCACACAAGGTTTTCATGGGCACTCATAGTAATAATGGCATCTTTTCAAAATCCAACTAAAAACCTTCCACCATAAAACAATTAAAAAACACAAATGACAATGTAGCCAGATGTAAGGAGAAAAACATAGCTCAGCCACACTACACCATGCATTCTAATGCCTCTTTATAAGATAAAATGGTAAAATGGGATAGACAGTTAAAGAGGAGAAACAGCAATAGCTACTCTGAAGAAATGAGTTCATAGGCACTTAATAGTATAAGGATTCAGTCTGGTTCATCTAGTGTTTCACTCTCTAAGTGTACACTACTGTAAGATTTACACTATATGTGT